TGGAATATAGATACTTGTAGGTATCTCTGTAGGTAGAATCCATAAAACTGAATTTTTTTTAAATGTTTAATTTATTTTTGAGACAGAGATAGAGACAGTGTGAGCAGGGGAGGGTCAGAGAGAGAGGGAGACACAGAATCTGAAACAGACTCCAGGCTCTGAGCTGTCAGCACAGAGCCCAATGGGGGGCTTGAATCCACAAACCGTGAGATCATGACCTGAGCCGAAGTTAGACGCTTAACTGACTGAGTCACCCAGGTGCCTCAAAACTGAATTTTAAACAAGCTACTTTGGCAATTCTTATTAAGAGTACAGTCCCTCCTCTTTGTTCCTTCTTGCTTATGCAGACAAATCCTGTTTCATTGTGACCAACAGTCAATCTTTCTGCCAGTCTTCCAGGTGTCATTTAGAGGCATGTTTGGCCTTTTCTTCTCCCTCACCCCTTACTTTGTTCACTAAGTATTGAAATTTCCACTATCCCTTCTATTGCCATGTAGTAGCTAGAGCAAATATTTGAGAACTTGTGTCTACAAGATGTATCAATTTTCTATTGTCAAAGAAGAGACTACTATATATTTAGTGATTAAAAAAACCCATTTATTCGCTTATAGTTTGGTGGGTCAGAAGTCTGGAATGGGGTGGCTATGCTCCCTGCTCAGTGTTTTAGGTGTCAGAAGCCTGAAATAGAGACATCAGCCAGGCTGAGTTCCCCTGTGGAGGCTCTGAGGGGACATCTGCTTCCACGTTCATTCAGGGTGACAGAATTCTGTTCCACTTCCAACCCCTGACTTCTGCAACCAGCTAGAGAAAACTCTCCTCTTAAAGGGTTCATGTCATTAAGTCAGGCTCATCTTGGTAACCTCCCTGTTCTGAGGTCAACTGATTTGGAACCTTAATATCATTGGCAAATTCCCTTTACAGCAGCACCCGGGTTAGTGCTGAAAAAATGGGAGAAGAAGTAGGCATATTAGGCCTGGCAATGTTGGAGACCATTTTAGAATTCTCCCTACCATACAAGAGAAGCAGAATTCTAAGAAACTCTCATGTATTTCCTTAAGTAAGTCTTCCAATAGCCCTATGAAGCAGGTATCACTGTTATTTCCATTTTTTGGATTAGAAACTGACACATAGGAGTCTTGCCCAAGGCTACACAGCTGTTTTTGTAACACTTTAGTGCTGTTGGATTTTCATGTCTTTGTTCATTCAACTACCTTCTAAATGGCTTTCCTGTCTCCATGATCTTCCTCCTTGAATTTGTGCAAGCCAGTCCAATGTTAGTTAAAAAATTTTTTTTGCCACCAAGTGGCTTTCCTAGATATAAAGAATTATACTTAGTTATAGCAGCAAAGACGCATGGTTATGATGTGCAAAAAATTGAACTTATGCCCAAGTATGAGAATCCATTCAGCTATATCCTTGGCAAAGGTTTTATTATGCTAACTTAGAACTGTAATGGTGTGATTGTAAGGGGCAGATGTGTGTGTGTGTGTGTGTGTGTGTGTGTGTGAGATTCTAACACAAAGCATCTGGTATGGATTATGTCTAAGAAAAAAACAGAATAGAGGTTCAGTAACAAATTTTATAGGTTATAATGAAAATACAAAAGTTAGCTATTATATTGCAGAGTACATGCAATATAATTAAGACATCAACTTAAAGACAGAATGAATTGATCTTTAAGGAATGAATAGCTTATGAAGTTTCATTTTAATTTGTTCGTCCATTTATTCCTGTAACAAATACTTGTTGAATGCACTATGTGCCAAGCACTGTATCAACCACATTTATTTATTGTTTTCTATTAGAGTATTGCAAGCTTCCTAACTGGTTTTCCTTCTTCCATACCACACCTACCCCCATTCTAGTCCATTACTCATACAGTGGAGAGAGTGATGCTTTAAAAAAAAAAAAAAAAAAAACTACTGAGATCTTGACACGCTCTCAAAACTTTCTAATACATTTTCAACGAATTCAGAGTAAATCCAAATCCTATGGCCCATAATGTGACCTATAGAGCTCCTCTCCTCTCTGTGTCCAAACTCATCTCCTCCCCTCTCCCTTTCACTCATTCCACTCCAGTGACACAGGCTTCCTTTCCTTGATCCCTGGATGTGGCAAGCATGTGTCCCACCTCAAGCTTTCATGTGGGCTATTATTCCATCATCTTAGAAGGTCTGCCCCCAGACAGCCACTCTTTTGACTCAGATTGTTTACTTGGATGTCACCTCATCGGAGAGACCCTCCCTGGCCACTTGAGCCAAAATAGCATTACTGCCTCCACCACCCTCTCCCCTTTCTTCTACTTTTCTTTCTAGCACTCAGTTATCTCTTGATATAGTATATATATTTTTGTGTATATAGTTGGCTTTCTTTCTCCTCCCATCCTAAGATATCAGCCTCTGGCAACAGGGAGTTTGTTTTTTCTTCTGAAGTATTCCAGTGACTGGAAGAGTCCCTGGCACATAGTGGGAACTCATATATATCGAATAAGTGAATGAATGAATATAAATTTCTATTTTTTGTGGTATTTATTTTTTAAATGTTGAAATAAAAATCGTATTTAACAGTTTCATGAAATAATATGGTTTTATGTTTTCCATATATTTTTATCCTTTCTTTTCACCCATATCCCCAAAAGAATATGATGCCCCTATTAGTGAATAGTATTGATACAATTTCTGGGGGAACACGTCCCCCGAACAGACCAGCAGCTATGGAAATCAAGTCACAGATTTTGCAACTTTTAAGAACATCAGCAAATGGCCTGTCTTGATAGCTTAAATACCACGGAACACAATTAAATGTGGTTACAGCACAATCTGAATGGCTCAAGTCTAAGTTAAGCAGTGACTTGTGTTTCAGCAGAGGAGTTCTTTCAAAATGATCCATCCAACCTGCCGGGAGACCTTTCAGGCAGCCAGAGGAATGAATGCGTCAGTCAGGAACCCTCTGGGCAGTGAGGGCCTTGCTCCCAATCACTCCCTAGTCAGTGATTGAGAAACACAATTTCCAACCCCACATTAAATACACTTGATGCCTATGTTGCTTTTTGTTCCACAGCCTGGAATTTCCTAGCATCAGGGACAAGTTAGTTGGTGATGGTGAAATTGCCAGTACTCACTGTACCTTATAAAGATGTTCTGAGGATGAGTCAAAGCTTCTACAGGATCTTGATGCCAGAGAAGAGTATGTACAGAAATTTTCCAATTGCTTTTATGTGATGTTGAAAGACCGGTAGATTATCAGCAGCTCAATTTTAACTCCAGTCACAAAGACTGTGGCCTCTGATATGGAGATCATTTTGAAATATGTTTTTCCAGCAAAAGTAATTATCTTGTCTGTGGCTGATGATGGACTCTTGGGAAAATGCTCAGGAAGCAGGGCATGACATTTTGTATCAGATTACAGTTCCACAACCCAGGTGGTTGTGGGTGGTAACAGGTCCCAGGTGGACAAGTTTCTGAAGTTGCAGATCTTCTTTCTCTTGTGCCTCATTGGAATCTTTTCTGATAAGGATTCACTCATTGGAGACATAAATTACCTTTATATTATCTTTATTGCTTTTTCTGATTATAAAAGTAATACATATATGTCATCTCAGAATTTTGGGGGGCTTTCTAAAAGGCAGCTAAATATGTATCTAAAGGAGTAAATGGAGGAGGGGTGTTATAGAAGTGGGAGTCTGACCTTATCTTGGGTACACCCTGAGGTGACCAGATATGAACTCTTTTTTTCTTCAGATTTGAACTTTGAACTCCAGTTGTAGGTATCGAGTGGTGACCTCGTTTGTCCCTTTAACAATAGCAAATAAGACTGGCAATTCCTAGGGGGAAAATTCTCAGCGGCAAAACAGAATTCAGAGCCCTCTGGCAAAATACAGAAAATTTCAGGCTGATATAAAATATAGAATTCTAATTCAAGGGATAGACCATCAAAAGAAGAAATCGATAAACTGGCACTCTTTTCCAGCTTTTTTTTTTTAATTAAAAAAAAAAAAAGTTCATTTAGAGCGAGAGAGAGCAGGAGTGGGGTAGGGACAGAGAGGAAGAGAGAATTCCAAGCAGGCTCAGCTATCAGTGCAGAGCAGGACATGGCGCTCCGTTCCATGATTCCGGGATCCTGACTGGAGACCCAATCAAGGAGCACAAATCAAGAGTCCCAGGCTTAACTGACCGAGCCATCCAGCACCCCCTCACCCCCCCTTTGTTTTCTTCATTTCACTTAGTTTAGATAGAGAAGGCACGCCGGTAGGGGAGAGGGGCCAAGGGAGAAAGAGGATCTTAAGCAGGCTCCACGCTCAGCACAAGCCTGATGAGGGGCTGAATCCCATCATCCTGGGATCACTACCTGAGCTGAAACCAACAGTTGGAACCTCAACCTGTTGAGCCACGCAATAACCCCTTTTGTCCAGCTCTTTATTGCACCCGTGGGCTGTCGACACTCCTTAGGGCCAAGCGACCTTAGGTGTTTCAGTGTCCCTGCACTTGTAGGGGCCGTCCACTCGCTTCATTTCACTACCAACTTCTCCCAATCCTATTAGCAGCATCTGCAGGTACACTGTACGTATGGAAGGCTGACCCGGATTTGCTCACCCAGTCCACGGTTTCAATTACCGAATTACACACTCGCATTGACCCTCTAGCAAAGAAAGCGTATGCACGCCAGAGTCTGAGGCTGGGCAGGTTCGCCCCAGGGCTAAGCAGAGACGACCCCCCGCCCCCTCACGGTCAGTGCACATCTTGGTGTGCGCGCTGTGGAACAAGGGTGGACAGCCTACTCTGTCCCCGGCCCGTCTGAGCGCACAGCTCCCTCAGCTGCAGGAGTCTCGGCGGAGACGCCAGCCCTGCCACCGGCCGCCTACCCCGCCGCGGCCCGCGGTGCTGGGATCCCCGCGTCCCCGCCCCCCGCCACTCAGTTCCCGTCACGTGCCTCCGCGTCGCCCAATCAACGTCCGTAGCGCTTAGGCTCGCGATTCAAACTGCTGCGCCGCCAGCTCGGGATCCGCGCAGGGGCGGCGGGCGCCGCCGCTGCTTACCGGCTATGGAGCACCGCATCGTGGGGCCCGGCCCGTACCGGGCCACCAAGCTGGTGAGTGAGCATGCCGGGACTGAGCGCAGCCGTCGGCCCCGTACTGGTCAGTCCTCGCCTCTACAGAGCTGGCGAGGCCCGGGTTTGGAGGCGGGACATATTTCCGCCGGTGCGGCCGTTTTCCCGTGGGCGAGCAAAGAAAGGCTTACTGGGTGTGGAGTTCAGCACTCCGTGGGTGGGTGCAACTTCGTTCTTAGACGTCGGCCTGGTTCTCGGCAGTAAGTGACGCCTTCCGATTTAAAGCATCTGGAGCAGTAGGATGACCCCCCCTCCCCCCGCCCCCTTTGTCCTCTGGAATCGAACGCCTGATGCCGGGAGAGGAAGGACCCATCTTGTCCGTAACATCGGGGCCACCCACCCCTTCTAACACACCCTTCGCTGCAATCTAGGCGGGCGTGGCTCCGTCCTGAGTGTCTAATGTGGTGACACTTGCGGTCCTTTCTAACGGTGCCCAAGACGGTGGTGGGTCTTGGCCGCTTTTCTGGCTCCCAGCGGTTTTGGTTCTGGTTCTGGTTCCGGGATCACCGACCTAAATCATTGGTTGACCCGTTGTTCTGAAAGAGCCTTTGCAGCCCCTGGCGCTCCAGGGTGCTGTTTTTTTCTCCTGGGAGAACTTTGGTATTCAGGGTACTTAGGTGTAGTTGATTTCTTTGTGACCTTGGAGCAAGTAATTTTAGTGCTTTGCGTTCTAGAGGATTACTGGAATGGAATAAGCGGTGACAATTTGGTTAATGTCAGTGGCAGGTTTTTAGAAGCTTTCCTTGAAAGCCTACTGATAATTTGGTAGGAGGGGGCCTCGCCCCGTGATCTCTTACCACTTCTGCCCACATCTAACGTGGGAATTCGTTTCATTGTTCTCCGCAACATAACGGATACCCAGGAAAAGGTAGTAACAGGGTGGGGGAGTTAATGCACTCATCTTTGCAAACAGTGTACTGAAGGCATTCATAATGATTAAATTCATTAAAAAATTCAGCAAATATAAATTTAGATTTTCCTTTGGGCTAGCATCTAAGAGGTGTATTTGGTGCTGATAGGGAGCAAATAGGTTTTAAAAAATCGTGTTTTCTATCTGCTTCCACTTCACAATGGCTTCTACCATTTGAAACCATCTGGGGTCAGGGCTATTGGTAGGTCCATCTTTGGGCATGAGATAGAGATTGTGCTTCATCAGAAACTTTCAAAAGCTTACTCTCCTTTGTAGAAGGAAAAGACATACTTCCCCCTCCCCCCTTCCACCCCCCAGTTTACTCACAGTAGTTACGCAAGGGAAGCAGAGAGGCTCAAGATCTTGGAGTAACTAGTTTTCATCCTTCCTGCTTTAGACTGAAAATAGTTACATTAGAATTGGAACTGTTTTTAATCTCATTCACTGAATTCTATGAATCACTGTTTTTCATGGATGTACCTATGTAACAAGACACTGCTTCATTCTGAGTCACATTAGAATATTATCAAAGGAATTTATAAAGAAATGTGTTCTTTGTCCTCCAGAGGCTGTCATCCCCTAAGGGATGATAATTCAGGTCAAGTTTAGTCAAGCCTGATAAAATGAAGCAGAAAATTATGCGAATCATTAATGAAGACACCTCAGTTTTGCCAGAATTTCCCAGGTAGTCAGTTCATTGGCAACTTTATTCTATTTGAGATCCTTGATCCTACACTAAGACTTTGAAAGCCCAAAAAACATTAGCAAAAATTTTTTTAAAGTGAGACTTTGTGATTTATAAGTGACCTCGGTCATCATTATGGGTGATTTTCCCCCTCATTATAAAATGTATAAATGTTTCCCCAAGCATAATTCAGTTGTGCCTTACACCTCTTACCAGGTAAATTGTAAAGTTTGTGACCAGTCCTGTCTTATTTACCCTAGCTCTCCTTTCCATCTCCCTCTCTCCACTTATCATTTTCCCCTTCTCCCAACATCACCTTCAACCCAGTCTTCAAGAGAAGCTTGGGGAAATCTATTGGTATTCCAAGAGCTTACCATTACTATCCCCTTTCATGCCTTGCTATACCTTTTCAAATTGTGTGCAGCTTCATTTTCTAAAGCATCAAAGTCTCATATGAAAATAACATTTTATGGACTCGGTGAATTTTTATGCCAGACATCAGATGAAAGACTCTAACTCAATGCATGATAAATTTGGAAGTTGATTAGTAACTTACTCATCTTCATTGAAATAGCTTTCACATTTGTAACCCACACACAAATACAGTTTACCCTTGAACAACGTGGGGGTTAGGAATGCCCACCCCTGTTCAGTTGAAAATCGGGGGTGTCTGGTGGCTCACTCAGGAGTGTCTGACTTTGGCTTAGGTCATGATCTCATGGTTCCTGAGTTGGAGCCCCACATTGGGATTTCTGCTGTCAGCACAGAACCCATTTCAGATCCTCTGTCTCCTTCTCTCCCTCTCACCCCCGAAATAAAATAAACATTAAAAAAAAAGAAAATCTGTGTGTAACTTTTGACTCCCCCAAAACTTAAGTACTAACAACTTACTGTTGACCAGAAGTCTTACTGATAACATAAACAGTCAATAAACACATACAGCAAAACCTTGGTTTGTTAGCATAATTTGTTCCGGAAAACCTGTTTGTAACTCAAAGCACTTATATATCAAAGCGAATTTCCCCATAAGAAATAAAGGAAACCCAGATGATTTGTTCCACAACCCAAAAATATTCATATAAGAATCATTATAATACTGTAATATAAGACAAAAAATAAAGAAATACGAAATATAATGAAAAATAAACAAACCTGCACTTACCTTTGAAAATCTTTGTGAATGGTGTGAGGGAGATGAGAGAGGAGGGTTATTGTGTAGGAGGACTTCACTGTCACTAATGGAATTACTGCTATCAGTTGGCTCAATGGAATCTTTTTCTGTAGGGGGGCTATTGTATACACTCGTACAGATGTTGACTACAGTATTAATAAACTCTTGTCATATACTGTATTTAATGAAACTGGCAATAAGGCAACAAAGGGAAGGGTCTGCAGGCCGCCTGACGCAGAATGAAGCAAAACATTCCTAAGCTTACTCTTGTATGGAAAAGCAAAGGACTGTCCATAGGTGCTTTGAAGTGAGGAAAAAAATACACCCATGCCATTGGCGGGCAACTTCCAGTGTTCTGAAAAATCACTGATATCTGCCAAATACTGTGGCCTGAGACTGAACATCTGAGTATGGGAGACAATCACCCACGGTCCTGCAGTGAGAGAGAGAGAGAGAGAGAGAGAGAGAGAGAGAGAAGAACCATTGGCTCAGTGTGATCATGTGATATTTGGCATCACGTAGAACTCGTAATGCAATACATTGCTTGTTTAAATTTATTAGAAATGTTTGCTCATCTTGCCAAACACTTGTAGAACAAGTTACTTGCAATCCAAGATTTTACTATATTTTGTATGTTGTACGTATTATATACTGTATTTTATAATAAAGTAAGCTAGAGAAAAGAAAATATTGATAAGAAAATCAGAAGGAAGAGAAGATGCATTTACAGTACTGCACTGTATTTGTAGACAAAAATCTGAGTATAAGTGGACCCACGTGTTTCAAACCCATTGTTTAGGGGCAACCATAGTTCATCATTTTAACAGAAACAATGAGGACCAAGAAAATTGCTTTTTAAAAGCTCCTATAATTTACTGATTCTTTCTTTGAATATAATTCTTGGTTATTTATACCATCTGATACAACTGGTAAACTTTAAAACACAGCTGTCATTGAATCTGAGAACTAGAATGGAAATGAATAATTGTCTAGTCCAGTTCTGTCATTCTTTTGAGGCCTGAAGGGGTGAACTGACTCAATTAGGTTTGTCCTGCTGGTACACAGCAAGTAAAGCTACATCTAGAGTTTGATTTTCTCTGTGCTCCTGGACCAGGTGCTATATCATCGTAGCACCATTATCACAATATTTTTGGTACTAAGAAAGAAGGAAATGGAATAAATATCCTAGAGAAAAGAACAGGAAGCTCATTTCAACACTCAGTGCTCTATTTTGTAGTTTGGCTCATGAAATGAAGCAAAAATAATTGTTTGATTCCTTATTTCAGATTCCTAGTTTAAGGGATAAATAAGTAAAACAAAAAAAGTTTTTTTTTTTTTTAAATGTTTTATTTATTTCTAGGAGAGAGAGAGAGAGAGAGAGAGAGAGAGCGTGAGCAGGGGAGGGCCAGAGAGAGAGGGAGACACAGACTCTGAAACAGGCTCCAGGCTCTGAGCTGTCAGCACAGAGCCTGATGCGGGGCTCAAACCCACGAACCATGAGATCATGACCTGAGCTGAAGTCGGACGCTAACCGACTGAGCCACCCAGG